GAAACAACTCATCGAATATCAGCGTAGGCTTGATTTGAGTTTCGCGAAAAGGTCTTGGAGCACCGTGTGGTTCGTCCCGAATGGGTCACTCTTGACAAGCTTACTGTATGCCTTGCTGGACGTGTAGGTCATAAGCAGCGTTACGTGTTCGAATGACTATGCTCGATAACTATGTCGTGCCTAATGACGAACTGATTTGCATGATCCACTTGAGGAGTATTTCTTCTGCTTTCCAAGATTTACTCGTCTCTTCTGTGTCGAGGTTATTTGGAAGAGACTTCAGGAAGCAAGCGAAGGTCATGCACGCTCAGACAAGTGTTCCGATAGTAGCTTTCGGCGTACATAGTGGGCCCATTGGAAACTTGACATTTTGACATCGATTCAGTTCTTGCATCGGTGCGTATACAAGCCCGCCCCCACCTGTGACGAATGTCAGTCTAGTCACAACCCGCAGCGGTGCCAAGGCGGCTGCACCCCTCGCTGCCCGTGACCCTATCATGTATCGACGCGTCTATATCACCATGCATGCCCACCCGTGTCACTAAGTATAGCCATATCAATACGCAGCCATGTTGGAATCACCAATATGCACATCGATGCGGCCTGACGCGTCTCATGATTCGCCTTAGGTATCCGACCGCTTCGATTCTCTGCATACTATCCATGGAGCTACGCGCCGAACTGTGGGCGAGTAGGCGTTTGCTGGTTTATCCCTCCAGTACAATGGTGGAACTGCGCAAACTGACTGCTAGATGCTGTAGTTCAACGGTGACCTACAGGGTTTGCGCTTACTCCTACTGTGTCTCTCAGTCTATTCCATTTACGTCGGAGTTATCGCGAGCTTGTTCTCGCCATGTTCTATACAAGCATAGTTATCTGACGGCGTAAGCATCTTCTATAGACGGCAAAAACCCCGACGCGTTCTGGTATCAAGCTTTTGCTAATAGCCCCGTATAGCATAGCGATCATACCCTCGAGCTCATCAATAAACGCAAACTTATGCTCCAGGGATCGGCCTAACGACCAGTCGCTACGACTTACGATTCAGATGTCGCTTCCACTTGATTTTAACTATACGCATGAGATACACACGAACCGAGCTAGCAACGATGGATTGGGCCATGGTCACAAACACAAGATGGATATCAAACAATGGCTTTGTGCTTCCCAAAACTGTCGCAGTTATAGAAACTGACCTTCTGCCCAGCTTTGGACGGTGACAAGATTACAAAAGAGGCAGTCAAAAGACGACGACATCCACGGTGCCATTGATGGCCTGATGGACGAGTGTGATATCATGGGTATCGTTTCTGAAGGCGTCGATGATTCCATCCTGTTGTTTGAAGCACAGGCAGTAGTACAATGAAGTTCATAAGAGAGGGACGCGTCATCAATCATGTGTCAGTTCAAGACTAAAGCATTGGTTGGTGACTGGGAGAACTTCCGTATGGGAAGAGCCGAATCTGCCCGAAAAGCCTGAATTCTGACATGCCAGCTTGAACGCGAGGAAGCATTCGCTGTAGGTCGTCAGGATCAGGTCCGGAATAGAGCGAGAGTAATGGATGTTCTCTCCCGCATCATCGAAGAGCAGGTGTACAGATCAGCCAGATTTCGGGAATGCTGATATTCTGACCTCAGCTGAGAAGACCGCTAAGAATTTGGATGCATGCAGTATTGGCTTCGGTGAAGCACTTTCTAAGGGTTTTCAAACATGCTACAATGGACACCGCGGACTACGCGATGCCGACAAACGACGAGAACTTCATAAGAAAAACAGCAGGGCTATATGCAAAGAACAGGAACATGCGGCGACAATCAGCCGCAGTACATGTGTAGATGTGGAGACCCGTGCAACAACTCTGTTCGATGGACAAAGATATCTCCTGACGAGTATGCAGCTGTTCTTTTTAACGAAGCCACCCGAAATCGTACTAAGATAATTTGGGTCTGAGAAGAAAACATCTACCGCCATCCACGATGTGAGATTGTCCATAATGTCTACTTTCTTCTTGATGCTTGCTATAGCGATTCTGACGTCATTCTTCAAGCATAGGGAATCTCTAATTGGAGTTGTACTGAGTGTGGCAACGATTCGAGAGATTCCACAGTCCAGGGTCAATCGTAGCCATGGTAGTTGGATTCGCTCCGCGTTTGGAACTCTAAGAGATGTTGGAATATTCCGCCACTAAAGGTTTTAGGGAATCAGCGGTGTAGGGTTTGTTACCGTTGCGTATCAAAAGTCCGTGAAAAGCAAGGGCCTAGGCAAAGCTTTCACCAGGGGACGGATCTGACCAGGAGAGGTACTGGGTTCTTCAGTATATACAGGTTCTTACCCCCAGTCATGTATGCGGCACCGATGCACGAAGATGGTCCTCAATGTGTAGACGCTCCGGTCCGATTCACCTTATGTGGTGGCTTTGCTGCCGAGAGGAGCTAATGTGCACTAATGCTAAGATGCATGCATAACGCCACCAACAAGGATACCTAGGTATACGTATGTACCGCATGACGGGCCACGACGCAACTCATCACGTACAGCAATCAAGATCAGGGAGATACATTGTGAAACGCCACGTTCATAAAGGGCTGGCAAGTCTTGATGTCCTGCAATGAAACAACTCCATAAAGCTACACGAGATTCGCGATGTATCAGTACCATGCAAACATTATGTAGCATCCATCTATACTTCACTCTTCTTTAGCTTGTGGACCGAACTAGCAAACATACCTACATGCGCTGTCAACTAGGTCTGCTAGACGCAATTCCTTCAAACATATTTCAGACGTATCCCATCGATCTAAAGTCACCTTCAATTACACTACAGCTTTAACCCGATCAGCGCTTACCTGCAAACGGCACACGAATCCCTGAGAAATGAAAAGGTCTCTTCCGTCTATAGCAGTTGGAAAGCAATTGCTGACTAGAATACGGTCAGACAAGCTCACCAGATATGGGTGAAACTAGCTGATGGAACAATGCTCTAGAACCATAGAAATACCATATCATACTTGTGTATGAAAGCACCCATCATATGAGGAGCTCCAACTCACATACGTAGGCCAAAAAGCGTCACGTCTATCTCTGGCAATGTGCAAGTGCATCCTCGCAGAATGCAACAACGCTGGATCTAACTCTACCTTTTCAGTGCCACTGCGGAGCCTCTTCTATTCCCATATCAAACGCAGGGTGCCCAGGCTGTGGGTACGGAAGATGTGCTTATTGCACGACTACGCGAGTTCAGGTGCGGCCTCATACGCCTATGATGAAACCTCCCTCTAGATATCATAGCAAGAAGTATTCATACGGATCACTAGGACATTGCCCAGCAGAAGAGGCAGGCCATGAATCGATTGGGTGTCACGTTGTGTAACAGGAGTCGGGATGCGGAAAGCGGATTGGTAACGCAGAAAAGGGTCAAAAGTTACTTTTCATTCTTGTCTGGCATAGTCGTACACTTTAGAAGGACCAAACCTTATCTTTCTACACATAAGTTGCTCTCTACCTCGGGCTGTTCCCTATAACCATCGCTACCAAGTGGAATGCAATACTGAAATATTTCCGATATCCTGAGGTCGAAGCAGTTCCTCAAATGCTGCAGCAAAACGGCTACCAAGATATTCGCGACCGCAATAAGCTGAGTACTTGTAGGGGAACCTTCTATCTACGTTTTCATGTGGTCACAACAAGCTTTGAAGAGAGTTGAAAACGCTAACGCGTCTTTACTAATCGGGAAAATCCTTCGCAACTTTACTCCGATGTACAGACTAGACGACGACCTTTGGCGAAGGCACGACCAATCAGCGAGCACGATAATGTAAGTAGTATCCTGCATCAGGGGGTAAGACTGCAGTATTTCAACCTCAGAGTCCGACATCGGCTACCTAACCTTGGAAGCATGCTTGCTCTGTGCCGTTATGGGAGACATCTGCTTGGTAGGAGATTCCAGCTCTTCGGATAAGGGGTTTAGTGCTAGTCGTACATTAACGAACGGTTTCCTCCCAGGAAGCGAAAGAACACATGTTCGGTTGTGACGACTGCGTATCGGATATACGCGATGCCGAGCCTTGCAGGTGGCGTATCGTCCAAGAAGTCTCTATCTGGCAACCCGACGCCCTCTTTCTGCAGGTCAGACGGACATATATCGCTGCCCAACTTCTGCAAGACGATAATATAAGATGTAGAGTCCTTCAGTCACGTTGTTCCAAGCATCGTAATTGAATGGAGCTGTTGGCGATTGGGCCCTATCCGCACCACTCATATCACTGCAATCCTTCGATACCTTGTGTAACTGCAGCTATGGAGGCGCAAGCAAAATAAGGCAAACAGGGCCTTCCCGTCGATCTTGTGACCAGAGCATTGAAAACGCCAGCATACGTGTACGAATGGTAAGACGCGCACTCCGGACACAACATTGAGACACGAAAAACGTTTCCATCTCTTGTTGGTTGGATAGACGTGGTATAGAACGACTAGCTGTTGGATACTCGAGCATTCAATCTGCTGGCGCCAATGGCTAGAAGAACTGAGCCGTATATGAAGAGCAGCCCGACCTGGCTTGTTGAAGTCCGGATGGACGATTCCTCGACCTCCTGGACACATCCAAGCCTTCTTGATCATATTCAGAGCCCTCTCATCAACATGTACCAGCATATGCATAAAGATCTACATATTCGAGACACACCAAAATTATATTACGATTTTGACAAAACGATTTCCGCGCGGTGAGTACTGAGCAACGTTTTGTTCGTCACCACATGTATGAACCAATCTAGGAAAGAATGGAACTTGAAATTATGAATGAACTTTTTTGCAAGAATTTCTCTTAGATGTAAAGCTTTGGAGCTAGCTGTATGTGTTTGAGCTGACTTGTTGAGTGCCTAGGTAGATCCCAATGGCTTACATCACCGAATCCACACCTCACTCAGGCTCTCGGCGCCTTGGCAGACAATGGCCACAAACATTTAGCCATGAACGAAGGCCACAAGAAGTCTATCCGTGGATGAAATCATTGGGCGAACTCCTGACCCCGCATCATGGTATCAAACTCTTCATGCAGCATTATGATGACGATAGAATATCCCCATTTGTGGAGGCTGTATTGGAATATTGTAGGGGTGTTGAAGAAAAAGATTTTAATGACACAGGGAAGATGAGTCTGGGTGAGGCGTGGCTCGATGACAGGACAGCTTCGCTTGTTCCGGCATTCGTGGGTCGAATTGTGGATAACACTTCAAGCAACCCGACAACTTCGGACACGGCACATGTGCGACACGTGAATGTTGATCTCCCTTTTGGTAGCATCGAATGCGATCTCGCAGATGTCCACGAAAGACATCCCTACATCTCAACACAGAGCACTATGTGTGAAGCCAGAGAATACGAGGAGCGTTTGACAGCAAGAGATTTACGGCGTCATCTTCGTGAAAGACGCTTTGACCATGAGCAAATGAAGGACGCAGACCGGCGACTTGTACACATCACAAATCCATCTCCATGCCACATGCTCACCTTGACTGAAACGGCAACCGAGCACCAAGCTCCAGCAATCCGGGACCTGCTAGGACAATTCGTCACATTCCAGACGTCCATGGAAGTCAGAATTTCTTCCGAAGGATACTGTGTCTACCAGCTCAGAAACCACTTTCCCTACTTCGCATTTCAAGAAACGAAACCAGAGGTCTCGCACAAGCCTGGGGGTGAGAAATCGAACCGAAACACATGGACGGACCTTTCTTTCCTTGACCCAAGGGACGAACCGAACACGTGTGGTATGTACCAAGCGCAGTCATCGTTTACTGTTTCCGGTTCCGATAACACTCGTTGGATCGCATATAACCTGGAGGATACCAGTTTCAACCCAGACCGTGAGATCGGCGACGATGAACGCGATGAGTACCAACGCAGGGATCAGATTTCCATGGGTAAATTCGATGCGAACCTGCCTTTCACTGACGCTCGGGAGTACTACCTGGCCATCAGTTTGATCAAAGCAAAGCACGCTCGGAATGAGATCCAGAGGGTGGTTGGACGAGTGGAGGCTTCGTTCAGGAACCACATAACGTGCTGCCCGTTCTCTACTGCATCTCCAACCGAACAGTCTGCCATAATGAAGTGGAACGAGCCCATGCTAGAGCTTCTGGCTATGTTGATTCAAGATCTTGGGGAGAAGGTCGACTGCTGGGATAGCTTCAAGGAAAGTGACATCGATTACTTCGCGGACCCAAATGCGACGCTACCATCCCAGGTCATCGAACATATCGAGCGCTTGAAGATCGAGTTAGACGATGTGTATAGGGAGTTGAGGACCTTTGGAAAGAAACTATCCTATTTTCGAAATTCATGCAAAGAGCTTGCTTGCCAACTGCAGTACCGCCTTGACTTACAAGGCGGAAACAACAGCAATTTCACCATTCTTATCATATCTCCTGTAGTCGTTGTCTCTAGTGTCTTTGCTATCGACACCCCTGTACTCCCTTTTGAACGGGATGTCCTCTCTTTCTTTTTGTCCGTCTTCGCTGTTGGTTCGCTGTTGTGGTTACTATTACGCTTGAAAGGAGGCTGGCTTGCTCAACAAGGTTGGTGGGACAGGCTGTTGCGAAGAAGTCGAACGGTGAGACGACGTAGAGACAGTAGTATAGTCACCGTTCATGAAGGTGAATTGAGCGTGCTGCGACGAAGAAACACGCATGCGGACTTTGCGAGGAATCGCGGGTAGAGGGACGCGGCGTCGCTAGCGTGTTTTTGGAGATCTGCGAAGCGCGCATGTTGTTAATGATAAGATGATGTCATGACGTAGCCCTTCTTGTTAACTCTACCCACCTTGTCATACTGTTCTATTTGCCAATCTGCCTTGTCTGCCCCTGTTTAGGCTGCCGTGTGCACTGGTGACCTTACAACACGATGTTATAGTGGCACGGTCACAATAACTAGGGGGCAAGTGTAGGGGGCCTCGGTGGCCTAACCCCAGAATCTACACGGATATCGGATGTCTAGACGACGTTGTATGGTGGCTCGGCAGTATTGTCGCTTGGCCAACATCATAATCACTGTATGCAGTCTGCGACAGTCCTTGTGCGCCTCGTAATTAGCCAGAATTACAGCACGAGAGCGTTTGGTGACAAAATAAGGCCAAAGGCTGGATCGGTCTTGTAGCTAGTAGGTACTGGCTATGGCCCTGAAATCTCATAAGATGTTAGACCACGGCATCTACTCAATTGCTATACTAGTGTATCATCTTCGTAGTTGCAGAAGCCTCCTCGAATCTGCACCACAGCTTCATCTATTGCGATATGTTCTTTCAGACCTCACTACTATTCACAACCTTCCTTTCCTCCGCGTCAGCACAATATGCCCTCAACAACAGCGTCGGCTCATGCGGTGATGTACATTGCCCTCCCGACGACACTCCTGTAGGAGCAGAATGCAACGTGACCGACAAAACCTACGAAGCAATCGGGCTACGATCGTTCTCCACAGCTATCACTGATGATAACAACAATCTTACATGGACCCTCGCTACACACCACAACCAAACCCACTCCAGCAAGACCATGCTCACGGAGAAGAGCTTTTATCTCGGCACTCCTCCTTCACTCGAACTTGACAGCGAGGACCTATCGTATCGAGGCTGCGCCATATTCTTATATGACAACCCTGTTGGGCGGAACAACTCTTGGGACTGTGAGAAGGTTGTTGGCGCAACGTGCATATCGTCGTTGCTAACCCAAGTTAACACGCTACTGGGGCTATCTGCCAACGAAACAGAGACAACGGAAGAGAGCTGTCTTCGCGTGCAAAGAGGACTGAATGAAACATTCCCTAACGAGTGTTCCGAGGTGACGAATTCTACTTCCTGGCCTGGGATATCTGCCATACGTACGTGTTTGGCCTTCTAGTCGACATCTGCAGGTATTCTTGAGCTGACATTCTTTAGCACTTACTGGCAAGGACGCGCCTACACCACCGGATTCTGCAAGCAACGCCAGCTCGAACTGTCACCCGACTCTTCCCAAGTCTAACGACCTCAGTTACGCTTTTGGTTATAACACAAGCGGTCTGGGTGCCGGTACTGACATCATCATCACCACATTTTGGTCACCAGATGGAAATGTTGAAGGCGCTGTGAGTGGTACAGACTCACAGCTCATGTGCCTATGGATAAACCCATTGACAGATCGGTCGATGGCTACTAATGTCGGTAATGGTGAGGACGATGAGGGTGCTGCAATTCGTCCATCTTTCAGCATGGTTGGTGTCCTCATCTGCATGGGCCTGGGTCTTTTTCATTTCATGTAGATGGCATGAGTGGCCATGCGCGATGTTCCAGGCAAGACGATGGGCTTTGTATCTCGATCATGGGACACTATTAGGGAATACTGAGAAATCAATCAACAAAAACATTTAGAATGTAAGAAAGCAAGCAGCTTGCACGTAAGACGAAGAAGTTTGGCAATAGGTTTCATAACTTCGTGTATTGAGTGTTATGCTGGTCCCTTTGCTATCCCAACGTTTGTAACGGCGACTGTTACGTCCCTTCGTCATTGGTTGCTTCGTGGACTTAGTTGATCTTCTTGAGCTCGACCTCGCTGTTCTAGAGTCAGCATTTGTACCCAGGTATGTATGTGACAACGCAAAACTTACAAGATGAGGTCAGAGTTAGGGGGGATCAAGCCAGGGAACTCCCTACAGGAATATTAGTACTTGTGCGCAAACAAGAAGCTCCAATCAAACTTACTGGGAGCCATAAGCGAAGTCGCTGCTGATGTCGAGCTTAGCCTTCTCGCCGAGCTTCATCTGAACGACACCCTCATCCCAGCCTTTGATGACGCGACCAACACCGATGGGGGTCTGGAAGGGACCGCGGCCGGTGGTGCTGTCGAACTGCTTGCCCTTGTCGCCGGTGCTAGTCTTGAGCCAGCCAGTGTATTCCATGGTGACCTTGTCGCCCTTCTGTGGGGAGGGGCCGTTGCCCTCTGAGAGGATGGTCTTCTGGACACCCATGATGCGTGCGGTTGTAGAAAAGGCTCGGGTTGTTGCGCGTTGAACGGTGGAAGGGGTAAGGAAGCTTCTCATTGATTGGAGTGAGAGAGGTGAGTGGAAGATGGAAGGAAGCTTTGGACGGAAAGAAGGAAGGCAGCTAGAAGGGCCCTTGGAGGGGTAGCTTTAGTGGGGTGGTGGGGTGCAGATCGTCAGCACACAGCCTCATGCTACTGCAAGGGCAAGGTAACCAGGGCAAGTACGACGAGCATGACCAATGAATCGAGCACGTCAGGACTTGGAGGTGGGCTGATTGCTTGTCTGGGGAAATTGCGTGATCTTGTGTACGTCAGGGTGTTTTGGAGCTTGAATTCGCGCTTACCGCGGTAACAGATGGAGGTCTCTGAAAAAGCTATAGCTTCAGATACATATGTATAGCTTGAAAGGCTTTGATCTGCGCGATGTATGCTTGGGTGACAGCGTAGATGTTCTGCTCGAATCGTCGCATCGAGCTAGCATAGGCAATGATTCTCAACCGTTTCTCTGTAGACTTTCCAACGACCCGTTGACCTTTGTGTCCAACAGACCAGTAACCCAATTTATCCCAATATATTACAGTGAACGCAAGCTTATATCAAACGCCGTGCTTATGCAGAGAGGAGATGTTGTACATTTGCTCACCACGAGCGTTATTCACACCACTCAGCCAAACCACGACTTGTTCCTCCTTGCTTCTCTCCTCGCTTCTTGCTATACAATCGTTAGCGTTTGTCCCATAGCGATGATACGGCGCGTTGTATGGGCAGGAGGGGATGGTCGTGGTCGTGCTGGGCCAGTCGGGGATGGGCGGGACGTACCCATTGCTCTTTGCAATCTCGATATGCCCTGGTCAAACACATTAGCAAAACCCTTCTAGGATATCTTTCCAATCCCTGTGTAATATCCCCACGAACACCTCGACTTCCTGATTCTTGAACTTGCTACGGACGCTGCACTCACTGGAAGAAATCCGAGCACATAGCTCTCTCTCCTCCATTCCTCTTCAAACACTTTATGCTCCTGTCCGCGGCTTCCTGACAAGGGTCGTAGTATTCACTGTATGCCTTGCTATACCGATTTATCAGTGCGCGTCCTGTGTAGCAGACATTTGCGACGCGGATGTCATGGTGGCGTACTTGTCGAATTTACTAGCTTTGGAGCCAGTCCATTGGTCGGCTTTCGAAGGAGTTGGTTTTTCGGACATGTCGAAGGACCCAAATCAAGGTACCTAGAAAGATGGCTCGAATTGCGCGATGGTGTATAACTGTAGGATGGTTTTGCGATGGCGCATAAATCGCGATGAGAGAGTTGATGATGCGCCGAGGAGGTGCGTTATCGATAACAACGGCAGACGGAAGAGTAGGAGATGAGCACTTTCCCGACAAACTACCAGTCTCCCTGCATTTTCATATTCTAAGCATGAAATCTACATTTCCACTGAATATCCAATCCATGTAGGTTTGCGAATACTGACGTTTTCCATTCATCAGAGTCTACAGAAGGACTGGAGGCACTTTCTTCACAATGCCACCAGATCCAATCATAATTACTCGCTACCCTAGGATTCATCTTCGAGACTCAGGCGGAAAGCATTAAGCAGTAATCGTTCTATCAGTATTGACTGACCCGTCTAACTCTGTCGCCTCTTCATCGAGTGTGGGGGCGGGAAGGCTACTACGGGAGCTAGGCCGGGGAGTCCCACAAAAACTGCGACGTGGGAAGTGTACGTTGAAGAGGCTATTCGAATCATTCAAATATCACTGGACTTCTTATCAGGGAGTGCTGACATGCTGTTCATTGTCTATGCGCCCAAGCTGTCATTCGATCCTGCGTCTAGGCTACATCCGGAATCCTGGACATAGCGAACAACCCTAAGCTGACATAGTATAGCCGCAGTTCGCTTGTCACCCACAGAATACGAATCGTGTAATGTGTCAGATGATAGAACTGCTGAAGCAGGAAGCTTGTAGTCATCGTGGCTTCGGATACCGGCAATATGATATTGAAAGGATCCATGGGACGTGTTGGCAACCGGAGCAACAGATGATATAGTCCCTATGATGCTGCTTCTTGGTCTCTAGCCAGTGTGCCTTGCAATATGCATCTCTCCGTCCTGACTACTTTGTGTGCATTTATTCTAGTGACGTCGGCACAGGACTCTCCTTTGACGACTCCCACTCTCCTGCCGTTCTACATTCCATTTCCCCTCGCTTCTTCTGGCGATTACATTACATCCTACACCAACGACAAATTCTGGAAACATGAATACCGCAACTACCACGTTTCAGTCATTTCCGCTCGTGGCGACTACGTGTACTATGTCATCGATTGTCGACCTAATTTAGACCATCCGTCTTGCACGGAACCTTGGGCTTGTCCACAGTCAGTGGTCTGCGCCGAAGAAATTGTTGAAGCGGGTAGAATGACTGCCACGCAAAAAGGATTAGGGAGGCTTGATTTCTCGTTCCGCTGGGACGAATGCAGCAAGACCACCGTTGGACAGTCGAGTCAGACTTGTCCGCGATACGAGTATCGATGCAGCAGCAGTACCGCTGTTGATCAGACTACGCGGCCTTGCGCTAAGTATGAGAACATGAGGTGGACCTGGGACGAGGTTCAGGATGGGACTAGTTATCTGGAGATGTCGAGCTTAGGGCATTTGAGCAGTGCGGCCAAGATGCTTGTCACAATTGGTTACGGAGGGGCCGACAAAGTGCCAGCCATAAGTAGGCATTCTCTCTGGGTGACTCGATGCTTAGACGTCATATTGGCCAATCGCTAACGCACATACCACAGTGTTGATCAGTATGCTGAATGAAGCGGAAGCGATGATAAGCGGGACATTGACGGCCAGTTCAACGGCGCATGGTGATGCAGCGCCCAAAGCTACAGGCCGTGTAGGGAGAGAGGCTCTGTTCGGTGCGGCAGGAGCGCTGGGCGCAGCCGTGTTTGGATTGTAAGTATGCTGGGTTACAGATTGATGAGAAAAAAGGTTTCAAAAGAAAGGTGTGGAGAAATGGTTGAACGGAGCCATGGAAGCAATTGTGACAGGAATGTGAAAGGTCGCGTGGCCCACGTCATTGGCGGGTCAGGCTCGCAATAGAAAGACTAGATCCAATCAGACAGTACCCTGCATGGGGAGATGAATAGTCGTGGAGATGGTTGGCGCTGGAGAGTAATGATATGCCCATTGCTGGCGCTAAGGAGGGGAGTGAGAGACGATTGTGAACGGCTGCTGCGGCAAACGGGTCGGAGGGCAAGGGCAGCAGCGACCGAGCGCCAACATGCTTAGGCTAGTCGACCCGCTGTTGCATGCATAACCACTGCCAACGATAGTCTTTCTTCTCTACAAGGGCAAGTCCCATGTGAGCAGATGCTCCGTCTATCAACCCCCAGCTGCACCTCGCCGTGAGAGAGAGAAACGAGAGAGCCGCCGCCCGCCATGGAGAATCGAGCGTCGCCAACCCCGCCCACCGCTCGCCCCAAGAATTCGGCCTCGTCCATCGCATCCTCGTCCAACACGACTTCACATACCGCTGCTGGCTCCCAGGCACAAGGCATGCCTTCAAATTCACGGGCCGGGCGTGGAGGCACCCCGACTGCCAGCCGGTCGGCTTCCAAACTCATCGACCAGGACAAGCCGACACGGGCGGCAAGCAAGGACAGCCTCAAGCAGAAGATGCTGAGCAAGAAGGACGAGCCCACACAGCCGAGCAGGGCAGATGAAGTACGGGCCGCTGTTCGTGTTGGTATACAGACCTCTTCGCTAACGTCCCGCAGCAACTCAAGGCGCTCAAGTCCGAGTTTGACAGCCTCCGCTCCCATCTCACATGCAAGATCTGTGACCGCTTGCTCTACCAGCCCTACACCATATCGTGTGGGCACACCTACTGCTATACAGTAAGATGCGCACCTTGCCGCTGCACTTGTCACTTTCTAACAAGTCTAGTGTCTCTGCACATGGTTCGTCGCCAACAAGGCCCGCAAGACATGTCCCGACTGCCGCATCGTCGTCAAGGACCTACCGGCCCCCGCCTATGTGGTGAGTCAGCCTGCATACAACCCCAGCGAGAATATCTAACATAGCTGGCCAGATACGTGACATGACAAGCGTCTTCATCGCACGAGCCGAACTACTACCCGCGGGCGAGAGCATCGAAGACCACAAGAAGTGGCTGAAGGAAGAGGCCGACGCCGTGCAGTCAGACAAGGACAATACCGACCTCCGCGCTGGCGGTCTCTTCAAAGGCTGCTTCAGGCTATCGCATCACCAACGGGGACCATCACTGCAAGTCGTGCGCGATCAGGAAGATGGTGTTGACCGATGTCCGGTATGCACCTGGGAGTTGGAAGACGGCGGATGCACCCAGTGCGGGCTGATCTTCGACGAGACAGGCGAGGTCTCATGGGGTGACAGCTTCACTGGCTTCAGCGACATGGACGAAATGTCAGAGCACGATCAGGACGATCTCGACGCCGAGATGGACATGGAGGACCCGGACTACGACGGCTACGGAGATGGCATGGAGGATTGGGGTGCATATCCTCCCGACCAAAACTCCTTCATGATGCGACGATTCTTGGAGGCTGGCATACCACCCAACGCAGCGGCCTTTGCAAGACGACGTCCAATCACGCACAGCGAAGCCGGCAGCCGACGCTCCTACTCACAAAGCATAGTCTCAGACCTGTACGGTGACGAAATGGACACGGTCGAGGAAGAAGATGAGGACGGCCTGGATGAGGATTCCTCCATGAACGACTTCATTGACGACGAGGCCGTACCTGCGTCGAGTTCACCCAGCGCTGCGTCGTCCACTCCCGGTCCTGTTCCTCAACAACTCAACAACAGAGCGCGTGCACAAGCCCGAGCGCGTCGCATAGTCGAGTCTGAATCGTCTTCAAACCGCTCTAGTACCGTTGAGGAAGAAGACGAAGACGAGGAAGATGAAGGACCGATCCGCAGGGGAGTAAGGAATCCTGCCCAGACTCGCGTTCTACATCGAGCAAATGGGTCAAGATCCTCTCGTGAGACAGCTTCAACCACGTCCACCGACGTCTCCAACGAGGAGCTCGACGAAGACACCCAGGCGCTATTGCGAGAGGAGGGATGGGAGTTGCAACGCGACTACGACGACGAGATGGGAGAAGAGGATGAAGATGACAGCGATGGAGGAAGGACGACCGTTGGGTGGGAACCGCTTGCGAACTCAAATGACAGAAGCCGAATGGGCGGTTCTCTAACACCTACTGCAGATCGTCCTCGGCCTAGTGCCCCCATACGCCCGCCCTCCAGAACCGGCAACGTTCGCACCTTGAATACCTCGCGTGGTCTTCGCCGAAGATCCTCTATCCTCTCCACCTCGACAGCCCACTACGAAGATGGAGAAGCGGACGACGATGACTCTGATCAGGAAGGCGACATCGAACTCGCCATGAACGCCCTGCGGACGCGCCGCTCACAAGCTCATCTGCGAAATAATGCTGCCTTCTCAAACCCTGCTGCTCGCGTCAACAACCAAGGGCCCACTGCTGGGGACGGAACGAATGAGGCGGATACTGATGATAACTCGGACAACTCGCAAGGGCACAGGCGAAGGGCGCCGCGGATGCAACGTCGCGAGTACGATCCACGCATCAGTTGGATGTTCGCTGCTCATCAAGCGGCCCTGCAGCAGCACCAGATGGCGGGCGCGTTGATAGACGTTGAGCCACGGGCTATCACACCGCTGTCTCGCCCTCGCACAAGGAACAGGAACCGACCCAGTCCAGCGCAAGCCTACTCCCCCTTCATGCCCCCTGCGCGCATACGAACGCCGCTTATGGACAATACTTCTAATTACATAATGGATCCGCGGCTCCCAATATCCCCACCTCGACGAAGCGCCATGTCTCCGGGCTTACCGGCGATGGGAAGTGCCGGCAACATGAGCCGCTTCGATCGTGCACCTTCTGTTAGTTCGAATAGCAATGCTTCTACCATATTGACCCCTGGCACTTCTACGACCTCATCCCAAAATGGCATCGATACCATAGCGCAGACACAGGCAGCTGCAGCTATGGATATGATAGATCGTCCTCAGAGTCGTGTTGGCGCTCGTCCATCTTCGGCGAATAGCAGAAGGAACTCTGGCAATTTCAATGCGGCCAACGCATTTCCTCATGCTGCCATGGGCTTGCATGTCCAAGGCGCAGCTCTTCCCC